TAAGCAGTCACCCTTCTAGAAAACTGGGAATTTGCAAGATGATCCTGTAATAATTGGGAGTGAAGCATCTTGCTGATGAAAGCCAAGCTCCTATTCAGCAGTCTCAGAAGGGATGGCTTAGCCCAATTTCCTTTCTCAGGACCAAGAACATACTTTTGAGTTGCTGAGCTTGGCAGGAAGGTGGAGGAAAGGATGATACAGAACCTCTAGGATTTGTGATTCAGACTGAGAGAACTTCTGGTAAAGCAGTCTCAGGTGAGAAAGAACGTTTTCTCCTCCCAGTAGTCTTCAGAACTGAAGAAGACTGGCTCAATTTTTTCACCAGGGCTACATGATCCTCTTTTGCATGTTCAAGTGCTAACAGGTCCAGTTCAACTACCACTTCCTTCAAGACGCTTTTCCTATGACTGGTCAGCTCGTGCCCCACTGTGCTATTTACACACATTTACATAAACTTTCCAATCATTCCTGATGCACTTGCCTTCCAACCCTAAATTCGCAAGCTATCATCAAATCCAGTCAACTTGATCTAAATAGTTACTGATTCTGACCACCTCTCTCATCTTCATTGCTGACAATAACTGCTCGAGTCTAATGGACATGTACTACATGCCAGGTATTATTCTATATATTTTACACTTATTAATCCATTTGATCCTTTCAACAACCCCATTAGGTAGATCATAGTAATTATTTTACGCAGAAAGAAACTTGGAGACACAAACAGTAAGGAACTGGATCAAATTCACATAGGTAGTAAGTGACAGAGGTACTATTAGGAGTTCATGCCTCAGTTGATAACTACACTGCCTCTGTCATCTAAACCACATTCCATTTAACCTAAATATTGCAACAGGTTCCTATCTTACCTCCTTGGCCTGCACTCAACTTCTTTTCAATGCATTTATCCTGGAGTTAGAATGACCTTTATAAACCACAAAGTATAATCGTGACACAATCCCACCATCCCTGATGCTCTCCATAATGGAGCCCTGCCTACCTGTCCTGCCTTATCCTGTGTTAGCCTTCTCCTCAACCTTTGCACTCTAACTACCTTGGCTGTTTCCTTCCTTCCTACCCCAGGACCTTTGCACAGGCAGTTCTCCCAACCGAGAAGGCTCTTCTTTACTTCCAATCCTGTCCACCTTACCTACTGTTATGATTTGGCTGTGCCTCCACCCAAATCTCTTGAATCATACTTCCACAATTCCCACATGTTGTGGGAGGGACCCAGTGGGAGATAACTTGAATTATGGGGGCATTATCCCCCATACTGTTCTCATGGTAGTGAATAAGTCTCACAAGATCTGATGGGTTTATCAGGGGTTTCCGCTTCTGCATCTTCCTCATTTACTCTTGCTGTCACCACCTAAGACGTGCCTTTCACCTCCCACCATGGTTCTGAGGCTCCCCGGCCATGTGGAACTGTAAGTCCAATTAACCCTCTTTTTCTTCCCAGTCGTGGGTATATTTTTGTCAGCAGCATGAAAACAGACTAATATACCTACTTAACTTCTCATTGTTCACATCACAATTTCAATGTCACTTCACACTAGGGAAAGCCTTCCCCTAACTAGTTCAAGTTCTGATAGGTCATGGCAGATTCTGTTAATGCATCACTAGATCATCAACCTCACGAGGGCAGGGCAGTATTTGTGTACTTTGTTCATCAGTTTATCTCCAGTGATGAACCCAGTGTTTGGCTCAGGAATTAGTCCACTTTATTACAGCTACAAATCTTAGCTCCCTTGCCAAAGTACAGATTCTTTGAGGTCCAGGACTGTGCCCTAGAGAAGCAGTCAGCTACAGTAAAGAGAACGTGGCCTTTGGCCCATACTAATTCAAAATCCAACTATACCACAACCATATCTGAATGCATGACTTCACAAGTCTCAACCGCATTTTCTGTTATTGGGAATAATGGCATTGTGAGGTCTAAAAGAGATACTGAAAATAGCATGCTAGCGAATCTATCAGCTAATGCTTCTTAGATCTTTCTTCCCAGGTGCATCTTTGGGTCCCAGGGGATCAATGACATAAGCAGTGAGAATAAAGAGCTAAGATTCTGCGACCACCCCACACAGTCATCACCGGCCACAGGCCATGGCTTCCTTCTCTACCACTTGGCATGCCTGGGTGCCACCATGTGAAAACATGCAAAAATGTCACAGTGAGCAAGAGGTTAAGGATTTGCTAGGAAGCAAAGGGAAGAAAGGGAATAGAATGAACCTGGTACATGTTAAGTAGCCACTAAGTGCCAGGCGTTTTCATATATTATCTCATTTAATACATAGCAAAAAGAAATCTGACTCTACAAATGAAGAAACAGAGACTCAGGCAGGTTAGGTCTCACCCATCACCTCAGCACAGGTAAGTGGTAGAGACTCTGACCCCAACCCAGGTCTCTATTTTTCCATTGGACTTGCTCCTGCCACCCCAGGGCACTACCCCAAAGTGAATCTCTTCCTCACTCTTGCTTCTGGGTAAGTGTGCATTAAAAGACCCAATGCATCTTTATGCATATGTACTGTCAACATGACCCTGATGTATGTGGGAAGAATCAGGCAACTTAGTCATATCTGAGCATGCAGTATCTCAAGATTAAATATTTGCAAATGAATTAAACATGTTAGAGTCTATATTCTTAAAAGCTACATACTACTTGAGCAGAAAGACTCTCTATTTTGCTTAATATCAAAGTTGGCTAGATAATTTCTTTCAATTAACCTGATTTTGAATGAGCTTTAATTTAATGTATTAAGAGCAGTTAGTCATTAGTGTTCCCTGGGCCTAAATGAAGTTATACAAAATGAGTAATGAAGTCTAAAAGGGAGGTCAGGAAGGACAGAGTAAGCTCTATGCCCTCTCTCTGAGATGCTACCCCAGATCTGAGCTTGCAGTGGAGAAATAAGCTCCTGGTACTTCACACAACTTGTCCCATCGCAGAAACTATGTGCTACGGTTATTCAAAATGCAATCCACCCCCTACCTGCGTCTGAATCTCCTGGGATGCTTGTTAGAATGCCACTTTCTGGTCTACAGATTCAGAGTCTCTGAGGATGATGCCCAGAAATCAGCATATTATCAAGCACCCCTAGATATTTCTAATTCATCCCAAGGTTTGAGCTCCTAAAACTTAAGAGTAAAAATGCACAAATCGAAATAATTCAACATATTTATTTATTCCAAGGGGATATATTTTTTAAACTGGAAATGTTTAAATAAATATTTATCCCCACAACTCTAAAAACAAGACATTCTCCATTTCGAAATGGGGAATGTCAAGTTTTGAAATATATAGGCATGCTCTCTCTTTAAACACAGCCAGGCATCAGCTGCCTTGCACCTGGGAGGAGAAGAGAGCAACAGTTAGCAACTCACTGGTTCAGGAGATCTACACCATGCATTCCAGCAACCCTGACCAACTCACCTTTGTATTCAATTCCTAAGTAATTTGATCTTGTGGGGGAAGGGCATGTTTTCTAAATTTATAACTTCAGTATGATCTTTGGTTAGAAATAGACTCCCTGACTCAACTACTAATGGCATGTTCAGGACACTCTTTTATTCTTCTGTACAAGCACCAGAAAATGTAATTTTTTAGATAAATTACTTCCTTTTCTTATTATTCACCACTGCTAAAGCCAGTTGCCTGCTAACCTACTAATCAAAATTCTGGATATGGGAAATTAATTTTATAAAAGAAACCTAAGAGTTGAACAGGTCCTTGTGATTAAACTACCTCTAATCTTACACCAGTTTAGCAATCTCCGTTCCTTTGCTTCCTGGGACTTGCCACAAACCTGAGTTCCCTGAAACTTGATGACCAAGTCCCCAAGCATGGGCTCATCAGTCTCAGGGTTTACCAGAATCTTCCCATTTGGGAGAGCTCTGAGAGTTTTATCACCTTGGAAACAGGCTCTCTGAATGTGCATAGAAAGAATATTTTTTAAAGCACCATAAGAAAACAGGGTTTAGTTACCCCCAAATGTAAGAGTCACGATTCAAAACTGTCACCGACTCAGTAGCATCTTAGTCAAGAATAGTATCTTCAACTTGACACATCACAGTATGTGTACTTCTGCTAACCAAACTGGTAATTGGAAAAAAACAGATCAAAAATATCCCATCTCCATATTTATTTTATTATTGTTTCTTCAAAAAATGCAATGGCTTCACTTTCCAAACTGGTCAGGCCATGGCTGATATAGTCACTATATGTGTGTATGAAACAGTAAATATTAGACTTCTAGTTACCTGTGTCATTTGTAGAAATCCTGATTTTGGAAAAGGAAGTGTAAAAGATACATTCAAAGAAGACATTTTAAACCTTAAAATGGAACTGCTTGCTTTGATGCAAATGGCTATGGTGTGTGTGTATGCACGCGTGTGTATATAAGAGAGAGAAAGAGAGGAAGGAAGGAAAGAAAAGATTTGGATGAAATATTTCTTTCGGACTATCCCTTCTAGTATTACAAGTTGCGAAGCCTGCATCGTTAGTATATTATCTCTGTTGAATGATGAGGTGAATGAAATCAGTTCTTTTTATTCTATGTTCTGGACGTGCTAAACAACACCGATACAATGATTCCACCTCTTATTTGTTTCACAATAAATTATGGAATTGTTTGCGGGCAGTGCTAGGAGCTGGAAACAAAGATGACTGAAGCAAGGTTAGAGTTTATTGCCTGCGTCTTAATATCGGAGCGGGAGGCGGGGTGCGGGGGGTTATACCCTTGCTCCCTGCTCCACCGCAGCCCGGACTGCTGTCGAGCTAGTTGTGCCACTGCTCCCGGCTTCTGAGAACTCCCCACCCAGCCCACGAACCTAACGCTAGGGTTCTCTCTGCGTTCCCCAAGAGCCAAAGACTCAAGTTCAACTCCGGAGCCGCGGCGCTCCCCGCGCACCCAGCGAACCCCTAGCTCCACGGAGCACCGCACCAGGTTCCCCGGACCTGTCCTCCCGCCAGTCGGACTGCGCCCGACCCCGCGCCCGCTTACTTTGCCGCTGTCGCTCACGCCGAGGAGGTGGTCCCGCAGCACCTCCATGGGGCAGGCCCAGGTGGAGTGGACGAACGTCCCTCGGAAGATGTGCGCCAGGGGCGGCATCTGGGCGGCACACATGTCAGCGGCGGAGCGCAGCGCGGGTCTGCCGGCCGAGGAGGGCGCACGGAGCGGGGGCGCGGCGGGGCTCTCTGCAGCTGCGGGCGGCTGCCGGGCGGGCGGACACGGGCTCCGGCCTCGTCCTGCCCCCGCTTCCCCGGGCGGTTGCCGGCACCCTGCAGGCCGCGCCCAGGGGCTGGCTCCCTACCTCCGCAATGCCAATAGGATTTTTCTACCGCGAGTCGGCTCCGCGCTCCGGTGGGGTGTGGTCTTTCTCCCCACCCTTGCGTTAGTTTTGGATGTATTAACTCTTTGAGTTATCAAAATCAACCACAGCTGAGGCTGACAAGTTCAACTTCCTCCATCTTCTATAAGTTGTGTCAGCCTGGCTCCTCTGACCCTTCGACTCTTCGGACCACTTAACTTCTTCCACCTGTAGCACCACGTTCTGAACTTGCATTCACGGACCCGTGAAAGGTCAGCTGGGACTGCCTACCTTACGCCAGTTTCATTTTCAATTTCTGTGGACTGCAGAATTCATATTGGTCCTCACCTGGAAGGTTCTGGAAGCACGTCTTATAGACCCTCTCTGGGAGCTCTGCAACTGGGTGTCATGATGGACCCCATGATTCCTCTCTTCACCTTGAGGCTACTGTTTTTGATTCTTGTGTCTGTTCGCAAACAATTCCAATACCAATTTTTCTCATGTAAAATGAATGAATCTCTTTTATTTACTTCCAGTTGTACAAGGGGAGAAAATTAAGTTCTCAAGTCAAATAGGCACCAATGGTAGCATGGGCTCGGTTGCTTAACTGGGAATCAAGAGACTGTGGGCAACACACGTGGGGGGCCTCAGTGTCCTTAACAACCCCATTTGTGAAAATGGAGCTTGGACTGGGTCATAGCTAGGGCTGCCGCTAGGTCGGCGTTCCCACCCTATATAGTGACCTCAGGGTCCTTCACTAAATTCCTCCATAAAGCCCAACAGGCTTCCGTTCAGGGCCCTCTAACGTGCTGTTCCTTCTGCCCCTAATGCGTCTTGTGGCTCTTTACTTGGGCAACTCTTCTCACCACTAATTTGTCTTAAATGTCAGGCTCTTTGGAGTCACCTTTTCTGACCACCAAGCTAGTGGCACCTGACTCCCAGCAGTTTCTACTGCACCAATCTCATTTCTCCCTTTGCATTAATCATATCCAACCTTATTTTAATTTTGTGTTCTTTTATTCCTCTTTCCCTTTCCCCAATACACACACACACACACACACACACACACACACACCAGTAACAAAAGCACCCCAGGAGCGGGGGACGTCTTATGCCTAGAACAATGCCGGTGTTCCATACTTGTTTATTGAATAAGTGAATGGATGGTTTTTCTGTGAGCAGAGCCATAACCTGAGACAAATAACTATTTTGACGCCTACATAAAGGGTGAGGGTTTCATTGCAGTGTATGAGCAGGCTTTCTCTGAATTGCTGCTTTTATAACACAGGTCCGGCTTACAGAAATGATTCATTCCCTTCTCAGTTCCTTCAGCTCCCCCACAGCCAATGTCTAGGGTGACCAACTCATCTGGGTTTACCAGACACTTTCCTGGTTTTAACACTGAAAGTCGGACCATTCAGGAAATCCCTCAGAACCATGCACACAGTTAGGTGGATCACCCTACCAAGGACTCAGAATTAGGAATCTCTGCAGCTGAGGTCATTACCCTTGTCCCTGCACCTTGTCAGTGTCTCCTGATTTTGCCGGCCACACTCCCTCCTGGCAGTCCCAACAGCCAGCACACCGAAAACATTCTCTTGACCTTGTATACACAAAAGCCTCAGAAAGAAAGGTGAAGAAAATGGCTTTGAGACAGGATTCAATTAGGTGCTTCCAACAGATGTATTTGTTTCCTAAAACAGATACAGTTAAATTTTTTTAATGAAAGCAACCTGAAAGTCAAAAAAAAGAGACTAGTTCTATGAATTAGAATGTATCTACTTGATAGAACATTATGCAGTTATTAAAAACAATAGGGGAAATATGTAGCCACATTGTTGAGCTTTTAAAAATGGCTTCTATGCTGTGATTAAAATCATGAAAAGCTGTAAGCATATTGGCTGGAATTGAAAAGGTACATCAAACAATGTATGTTGTTCCGCTGCCATAACAGAATTGCTAGGTAGAGAATTTTGTTTTGATGTTTTTTAATGTTGTTAATACATGGTTTATAGGATGAGTAATCATTATGACGCTTTAAAAAAGTTAATCAGCTTAAACAGAAGGCTGGGCCATGAATCTCCAGGTGACATGGCATTAGTGCTACTCAGGTAAATTTTAGCTCTTGAGCAATGCCTAGTTCCACTTCTGTTCCCGATCAAGTTGTAGGCACCTGGACTCAGGATCCAGAAGCCCTGGGTACTATACTGCCAGGCAACGTGGCTTAGCCACAGGTCAGAAGTCTTGGCTTCCCAGCCAGTCACAATAACTCACGCCTATAATCCCAGCACTCTGGGAGGCCAAGGCAGGCGGATCACTTGAGGTCAGGAGTTCAAGACCAGCCTAGCTAACATGGTGAAACCCCATCTCTACTAAAAATATAAAAAATTAGCCAGGTGCGGTGGCACACGCCTGTAGTCCAGCTTCTGGGGAGGTTGAGGCAGGAGAATCACTTGAACCCAGGAGACGGAAGTTGCAAGGAGCCGATATTGCACCACTGCATTCCAGCCTGGGAGACAGTGAGACTCGGTCTGAAAAAAAAAAAAAAAAAGTCTTGGCATCTCCCTACTGTCACTGGTTCTTCACTCTCAGACTTGACGACTCCTGCTGATCCTCCTGCAATTTTGACTCCCATTCTGGTATCCCCAGGGAAATGTTCTCCTGGCTACACAGATTTGGAGGAAAGAGGGTACAGAGCTTTTATATTTACCTTCAAACACAGCCCAAGCACCATTAGTGCTCCGCCCCCACACATCACTTCCTTCAGAAAAAAAGAGCTACCGTCTTGGCCTGGAATGTTCCCTGGCTGCTTCTTCAGGCTTGGCTACCTCCACTCTCCCGTATGCTGAGAATCCACTTTGCTCACACTCTTCTCTCTGCTTGTGGTGCCCTTATTACTGTCTTCCACCATGTCTGCCTCAATGCCTCACCCACTCTCCCCACCCTCCGAAATCTGTCAGGTTAATTGCTCACCCTCACCTTTATCCAGAATGTCTTTACGTTTCTCCTCTAAGGTGTTAGGTGTTCCTCCCCTGAGTTTGTGGGGGTGCTGTAATTGTTCCGTTACTCATCTATACCCCAAAGAAGATTGTGTTTTTCTGAAGGACCATGTCCTCTTCCTTTCTTTCTTTCTCTGTATCCCCTTAGCACAGTGCCTGGTCACTAGGAGATGCTCAATAGATTTATATGAATATTGAAGTTCAGGAGATGGCTCTAGTGCCTATATTTTAGTTATAAAAATTAAGCAGCTATAGTGGGTATGTGCTAATGGTGAACAATTCATTGGGACTGGGACTTAACAATGAGTTTTATTTCATCTATTTAGTTTTCCAACATTTTATTATGAGACTATTCAAACATACAGAAAAATTTTAAGCTTCATTTCTTACCATCTCAATTTTCTCTATTTCAGATGGAGCCAAGTAGTCCGCAAATTCCCCATCTACTGGGGTAGGATCAGCACGTTCTCAACCTCTAATTGCCTGAGGTCAAAATCTAGACCATAGCATGATTAGCTTTGAATTTTGGTCATCTCATTAATGTAATTATACCTGTAGGTTAGTCAAAATGTCCCTTTTGCTAGATAAAACTTGACTGTTTGAAAAGGCTTTCTCCCCTACTGTCTCATTTTGAGCCTCTCGACAACCCTATAAAATAGGAAGAGAAGGTATTTTAACCATTCCACAGATTGGGGAAACTGGGGTTCAGGGGGATTGGCTTGCCTCTGCAGTTAGCATAGGATAGACTTGGATCTTGGGTCCAGTTTTTCTCACACATTGTCACATCACAGTAAACTCCCGGGAATGATTCATTCAATTTTGCCATGACTCACTTGGCCACTGCACTGTGGGCTGTCAGCTACAACTTTCACATTGTACATGGTTTTCCAACAGTTGCTGGTGACACTCAGATTAGTCTGCAGTAAAACTAAAGGAGATAATGAGCCTTGAGGAGAACAAGAATCCAATCAGCGTAGGTCAGTAGAATGGGCCAGCGAAAATAACTCAGGTTTTCATGAGGCACAGAGAGTACAGGGAAGCGGGTTAAATGAGAAGCCACTTTTCCTCTCTTATTGGAGAGAAGTTGTCATTGCACAGTGAAATAAATGCTGCCTATTTTATTTATTCTTTTCATGTAGCTAAATCTATCAGTTTCCATGGTGCCCTGTGTTCACCATGGAAACTCTGACAAGCTCGTTATGCTTTAGAGAAAGAAAAAAAAAAAAAAAAGAGAGAGATACACCAAAAATTTGAGATGGGATAAATGCATTCCTTTTAAAACTGTGTGTTCTTCTGAGTGGGAAGCCTTGATGGATAGCAAATCATAAAGATCTCCATTTTCCAGTTCTTAGGTGAGAGCCCAGGTTTGCATATCCATAGAAGCAGCACCCTTGCACCCTTCCAAAACGACTTTGTTTGTATAGTGTAGTTATGCCTGTGAGCATCCCACCTCTGTATTGACTGACAATAGAGATGGCTAAATCCATATTTTGTCAATTTTTATGAGACTATAATGCTAGTCCCTACATTCTTTTAACAGTTTGTTCACTAAATAAATATTTGCTGGACATCTATATTATGATAGGCACTATGCTGAGTACTGTGGGTATGACTACATGAAACAGATATTGTCTTACCCATATGTAATTTACATGAATCTACTTTCTCTCTGCCACCTCTAGGAGTAGGAATTAATAGCTTTCATAGTATCACTGTAACATTTCCCTAGCATAATTAGTGAATGTCGTATTATTATATATACTACCTGTCAAATTTTAAGTGATATGAATATAATAAAAGGCACTTAACGATTAATGCTGAAGTGACACATTGATAACAGTGCTCTAGTATACTATTTAACATTACTTGTTTCAAAGAAGTCTATTGTTACTATTATTATTATTTTGAGACAGAGTCTCGCTATGTCGCTCAGGCTGGAACACATTGGCACCAGCTCGGCTCACTGCAACCTCCACCTCCTGGGTTCAAGTGATTTTCTACCTCAGCCTCCCCAGTAGCCGGGACTGC